TCCAAAATAAAAAAATTTGCTCCTGTGGGGACATAACGGTATCCATGAACCGCTGTAATAAAGGCACCTCTCTACTTTATTATCCTATGGATCTGTTGCCTTTGGCAAAGGTGTTTTCATTTGCCATTGGGATCATGTTTAAAAATTTTAAAAATATGTATTAAAAGCTGCATGTTTTTATATTTACCCAAGCATCTATAATCTCTCACTTATTTTTCTTTAGAACACTGGAACTCGTTTTAACAGATTGTATTCCATTTTTTGAGCTTTGATTACTGAATTAGAACAGGTAACCCATTTGTGTAGAGATCAGATAGCAAATAAATCTCTATAAGGCTTTAGGCACCGCTTCAGGTAGCATATCATGGTCTACTTTATCAGAAATTTAATTGCAATTTTATGTCAACTTAAAGTACTGAGAACATTAGTGTACTTTTTTTTCTAAACAAATGAATAATTGAATAATGACTTATTTACAACTTAATTCTTTTGGTGTTTGACAATTTCTCCTGTCCAGTATTTTCTCATAAGTGTAAACTGTGACATTCCTAGAACCAGTTTGACAATTACACAGAAAAAAGTAATTTTTCCTAAGCTAATCCTACTTTCAATGAAAGTGGCTGGATCCTTGACTTTGTTTTCAGTTTATCAGTCATTTTGGTTCCAACCAAAAATGGGACATCATGTGGCTGCCAGCTAGAAATGGTTATGTATAAACAGACCAACACTTAGACTAACATGTAACATAAACAATTTTTAGTTAGAATGTTCAGGTTTTTGCTTAAAGAAGGAAGTTCTAGAATGGGTTTCGTGGTGCAGTGTTGAAACTGCCATTTGGTACATGTGCATCCCACACCTGCATGCCTCTGCTTCTAATCCCCTGCCGTGATAATATGCACCTTTAGGAGACAGCAGACAAGACTTCAGGTAGTTGGGTTCCTGTCCAGTACATAAGAGACTCGCAGGGGGCTTCTGGATTTTGACTTTTTTCAACTAACATTTTTGGAAACAATCTTAAAACAGTTATTAAAGGAGGAAAGTTACTAAAATATTTGAGTATATACTTCATCTGCATTTCAATTTAAATGTTATTTAAAAACCAAGATAATTGCTACCTACTGTGTCGTACACTTCTGCTTTGTGGAAGACTTAATAACAATCTTAATTAGGCTAATTTTGGTCAGATTAATACTTGTGTGTGTCAGCACTAGCAGTTGAATGCCGCATACTGCAAGATTCTAATTAATGCTAAGAAAAGAAAATATTCATGGTACAACCATTTTAAAATTGAAAGGCTAAAGTATCCAATAATGACAGAGGATGTCACTATGATATCAGTAAAAATTTTAGATTCTGGGTGAATTAATGTTGAATTTTAAATACATAAATCTACTCAACTATAATATTAGGAAAACAAAATTTTGATAAAATACTTTGAGCAATACATTGTTAACATGCCTTCATTTTTGAAGTATTATCAAAGCTGACTAAAGCTGCTGCTAACCTACAGTGTGTCCTTGCATTCCCTGTCTGGCGGTCGGTTACCCTATCAGAATGAAGCAATGATGTCACATAGAAGGGAACCATTTTGTGCATGAACTTAGTTACAATCATATCATTGTTGTAAGTTGTATATAGTCTTTCCTTAATGCCGAGTAGCACACAAAACTGCTGAGTGGCATGGACTAAAAGCCATCACCATCTTCTTCAGGAATAGATTTCCCAAGCTATTTTTCTTATACAATGGGAAGCACATCAGGACTCAGACCTTACCACTATCCTGAGTGAGCAATCCCACTAAAATATCCTCCTAATAATTTCTCATCTGAAACCTCTTTCAGAATTAGAGATTGGCTGACAAATCCACCAGTTCTAAAATGAGCCAGTTGTCTTGTTGACTGCTCACACGCAGAAGAGGCTCTTTCTGTCCGCATGAGCGGTGTCCTGCTAATGATTGATCCTCCAATCTCTAATTTGACCCTTAGGATAATAAACTGAGATCACTCGGCTTGGGAACAGTTGACAATAGTGAAGGGAACATCATCTAGTTCTGGCCTACTTCAGTAAAATTGTTAAGTGCGTATTCCCTGATCAAAGGGAAATGAATGATGTGCTTTCTTTTTAAAAAAAGTGCTGGCTGTGGAGCAATTGTAAGACTGAAAGGCTCCCAGCACAACTTAGAAGTTTCTGTTACTGATTTCAAACGAGAATTATTGTTAATAGGAGCAAAGTTATTATCGGCATGAATCACAGACACAGAGACCTGTTAACTTAATAATGTGGCAAATGTACTATTAATCTTTAGTGAAGCAATATTAATATATTGCCTAATCTAAGAAAAGGCTCCAGTGTCTAGAAAGCTTGAAATCATTTCTGCTTCTGCCTCAAGTTCTGAAATCATCCCCTTTTAAAATTTTAAATACTTTTATTTCACACAAAGCCTCTGAGTATTCAGAAGTAATTGCCGTCAATAGAGATTCATTTTCACCTTTGAGTGGACAGTAATGTCAAATGGCAACATTATTGGCTGTAAGATCAACATATTGTAAATGTGTGTCTTGGAACTGAAGGTCAATAATGGCTACTAAATCTCAAATATGGAATGCTATGATGTTTTATTCTTGGTCCTTTGATTGCCTTTGTAATGGTGATTATATCATATAGGGTCAAAAAGCTAGTTTCAGCCTACCCTGGTGCAAGTTTCTTTTGCCTCCTGGGAAAAATGTGGTCTAACATTTTCTTTGAAATTCCCAGGACAAAATTACTATGTGCAATTTTGCAGCCTGTATAGTTTGTATCAGGGATTTGTATTCTGTAGCAAAAGCAGCACTGTGAGTAATCGCAATGCCTGGATTTAATACTGGCCTTGAAATCAGATGACTGCTCTGCTGTGCATCTGCAAGGTGACCACAAGCAAATTGCAAATTAGTGTCTCTGAGCCTCGGATGGAGCACGATTATTCCAGTCATTCAGGCTCGCTGCAAGGATTAAATCAGATACTATGATTCCACTTGTTAAAAACCATGATTCATAACAGGTAATCAATAAATATTAGTGCTTGTTATTTATAATAAACCGCTCTTGTATTTGTGATAATATGCTCAAATTAGCTTACCAAGCATTATTATAATTTTTTTAATTAAAAGGACATATGATAATTTTCAGGAAAGGCTCAAGCTGAATGAGAAAAAAAAAATCAGGTGTCATTACATTATGAAGATAAAGAATTAGAGGAACCAGCATTGTGGTGTGGCTATGCTGGCGTCCTATATGGATGCCATTTAATCTCAGTTGCTCCACTTCCAATCCAGCAGAAGATAGCCGGAATGCTTGGACCTGTGCCAGTCACACGATGGACCTGGATGAAGCTGTTGGCTCTTGGTCCGGGTCTGGCCCAGCCTCAGCCATGATAGCCCTTTAGGAACCAAATCACGACGTAGGACCCCTAAGGGAAGCTGGTAGCAACTTTACCGCTAAGCCACAAAGCTGATCCCTCTTTTTTAGGATTTTTTGTTTAATGTGATATGAGGGCTATATACTTGGTATATCAAAAAGGTCGTGGAAAATTGAAGTAAACAATAATTTTGATACAAAAAAAAGTGAGAGTCCTGAGTGGCTCTATCATACTTTCCTTGAACGTTAGAAGAACCCGCGTGTCTATGATTTTAATTGCTTTGCACTAAAGTGAGATTATATTTTAATCTTTTCATGAGATTTTTTTCATATTCTTGTTTTTTGTTTGTTTTTGTTTTTTTTGTGGTGTTTGTTACTACTATTCAGTCAGGCGGGAGAGTGAAGTCCCCCAGTTGGACTGGCGTCCATGCATGGTTTAGGCTAAGTGGTGGTGACCTTCTGTGCATCAGATATTAGGGCCATAGGAGACACACGATTTTGCAGGGCTGTGTTCTACTTGAACTTTATCGAAGCATACTAAAATTTTAATTTTGGTTATTTTTAATATACAAAATGTTGTTCTTATATGGGTTGTTTGTTCTTCAATTAGACTTTGCTAGCTTGCAGGATGTATCAAAAGAGGCAGTGGATTGGATTTGGACTGTATTTGGTAATGCTTTGCTAACCTCTTATACTAGAGGAGCTAGCATTGTATTAAGTCACAGATGGATTCCATGTTTCCTTTCACTGTTGTTACCTGCCCACCTCCTCTTTCTGTTCCCCCAAATTATCACATAATGTTCCTATGCCTGAGCTTCATCTTCATCAAATAATGTGGTTATTTAAGCGAATCTCTAAGTTTGTTTGTAATTCTAGTCTACTACAATTTATGACTGTTAACACACTCATTTGCCCTTGAAATGCCAAGTTAGAGGTTGGCAAGGAAGTCTTAAATTTACCCAGACTTTTACAATCCTGTATTCTGCCCTAAGTTTTCCTTTGTAACCACACTAAAGAAAAAATTGAATTCCATATTATCTAGAAATTAAACTTCGGACATAGCGCTTTCCCTTTGATTTGCTCACGGCGTAGGGACTGATTCCCCAAGGAACTAATAGTGTGGGTGGAGAGAGAATCAGTTGCTCATTAGTACTTACATTTAAGACTACGGGGAAGGTGGTGCTCCAATCAGTCAAATTAGCCGTGTGTTAGTACCACCTTCCAAAGATTTAACGAGAAAGGAAGGCAAAACCTCTTGAGAGAAAAAGGAGATTTGTTAATTAACTATAAATTCAATGTTTTTGTGTGCTGTGTTTGTACCTTCATGCCTTTGCATAAAGTGTGGTCTGCACCCACGAACAAACGTTTAAGAACAGCAAACTGTACCCAGAGGTCCTCAGGCATGCCTCCCCTGTTCCTCTTAGCTGTTGAAATCAGCACCCATAATGGCATTTATGTGATAAGTGCCCTGACAAAGAATAAGAAGCATGCTATTGGGTGAAAATCCTTACAGCTTGTCATTATAACACACAATCACTTTGCTGGTGTGGTAGCATCCATTTTCTTTCCTTACCTGCACAACGCATATTCTGTACGGGAGTTGAAACTAAAGGAGAGGGAAGAAGGTGAAGAAACATTTTGTGTGTTCCATGTGGAGCACACTGTAATGGCCACCTTTTTTTTTTGTTTTCCCTTGGCGTGGTCTAACCAGCTTGTTACATCTCCGTTGTGATGAGAAACTTGCAGGAAGCATGTTTAGGGCATTAACAAACACCCCAAATGTTGTCAGGAGGGAACAATCTGCTGATAATTGGAAATATTATGTATCAGTATATGCATCGCTTTTCAATTTTCCAAGATGCCAATTAGAAAGATGACAATTGCAAGGATGAAGGGCAGGAAAGTGACTGAAAAGGTTTTAGCACCCAAGGGGTTGGATTCAAAGGAACAAGCTTCTGACAAGGATTCTGGCATCCTGATGACCAGCTCAGGGTGGTGCCTGACAGCTGATGTAAAAAATGAAAAAGGTAAGATCAATGGGAACATATTAAAAAGGGAAGAAAGGTGACAAAATAAAACACCAAAGTAAAGGATTTCAGAATCTCTCAGAAGTCTCTAACTTTAACTTATTAATGAATAAGATAACCTGAGCTTTCTTTTATATCCTTAATACAAAGAACTCGTCCTATTTTTTTTAAAATATAAATCATTATATAAATAATCTTCACTTTACTTGGCAGGTAGAGGGTGGTTTCTTAGTTTGACATGGGGATGAAGGGAAATGTATCCTCTGCTTTGCCTTCACCCTTGAATTCAGACATAGGTTAAACGTGAACTCTTCCAATGACTTTATGCATCTTAATAGTGTCACTAAAAGTTGAGATTGGATTAGTTGGCTTTAGGCTGTTGCAGTTGCAGTAGTTTCCTCTGGGTTTATATGGCCGTGATGGTAGTATAAGAAGAATTTTATTGCCTCAGATGTTAGTAGTCACTGATTGCTAGTGATTTGCAACCTCGTTGTTGCCTCCTTTATGATCTTTCAGATCGCACCTTTCTTTTGACTCCATTAGGACTTCTTGATGCTGTGACAGATAAGAGACCCTGTTTAGGGAGTGGTTCACCTATGACATCATAATAAGTATAATCTATCACAGCACTCCAGCGCATCAGATAAATCCTTCCCCAAACTGTATAGACACCAAATTATGGTTGCAGGATAAATGGTGTAATAAAAGTGAAAGCATTTGAGTTTCGTTAAAGAAGGTTTGTATAGAAGTTCAAAGTTTATAATCTGATTAACTCTAAGTATCTTATAAAAAAATTCTTGGTAAAATGCGTTCTGATGAAATGTATTTGAATAGCATTGAGTATTCATATTTTAAAAATATTTACTAATGTTTTTTTGTTTAGTTCTAAAGGGCTTATATTGATTTGGTCTAGTCCTTCCTTTAAGAGGTGTAATAGATCCATTATGTCAGTCTTTGATTAATTGAGAAAGCTGGGGGGCCTGGTAATTGAATATGGAGCCTTTCACCCCTAAGTCACTGAATCAAATCTACCCCAAATTGGTAGTGACGAAAAATGATTGTGGTTGTGGCTCTTTGGTCGTCTTTGTGAAGTGTGTTTAGGTCATGTGGAAATATACTGGGATAATCACTAACAAGAGATGGGCTCCTCCTATGTACAGTTATATTATGTCTTCCTCATCACTGTTTCTGGATGGAGAAAAAGGCCCAGAGACCAAGACAAAAGAAGCACCTGTGTGTGAATGGCTGTTTTTACCTCTTAGGAAAGAAGTACTTTATTACTTGCAAATAGAAATGCTTTGTTATGAGAGTTTCCCAGCTATTGCAGTTGATTCACATAAGGCTTAGGAAAGATGAAAACTGAGAATGTGTTGATGAATAATCTGGACACTTTGAACAGGCATGGGCCTGGAGGCTTAACTCCCCAGCATTTCCTACCATCTTGTCTCTGTTGCTCATCCGCCTGTTCTCAGCTAAGCCGTGCACTGTGTGGATACCAGAATGACTGTTGACATTGAGCCAAATTCCTCTATGGTCTCAAATAGACTTCATAATTAAGTTGTAACTATAAGCACAATAGAAGACCATTTCCAAAGACATTTTCCTCAGTTTCCCTAATTCCCAAGTTTTAAAATTCAAGGACTTGTATTGCATGTTTTAAATTCACTGTTTTCTCTGTAGTGTTCTCTCTATAGAAAAAAAAGTCACTGTGGCAAGGCAAATTTAGAGTTGCTCCTACTGCATGGTAAACTGATAATTATGCTCTTATTAAACAATTAAGTATTGCTATCATGTTATTCCTTTTTAAAATTTTTATTTATTTATTTATATTGGAAAGGCGGATATACAGAGAGGAGGAGAGACAGAGAGGAACACAAAGGTTTGTGTTTTTGAAAAACCAATAGAATTTTCTAATATGGATAGGAGGCAAAGAAAGGTGAGGGAAGTTTGATCAAGTTCATAAAAATTTACTAAATAATCAAGTCAAAACAGGAAGCAAGATATATGTTCTTCAAGGTGAACAAAGAGATCCATTTGATATAAGGTTGGCATTAAAAGCCCCAGGACTAAAGCTAACTTAGGGAAAGTGGGTGGGAGCAGAGAAGAGGTAGGGCTCCTTGCAATGAATTTCAGGTCTCTACTTTATGCAGAGGAAATAAACCAGTCTAAGAAAAGACAGCATGGTAGATGGGTTGCAAATAAGAAGGAAAAGAAACAGTGAGTCTACACTGATGAGTTGCACTGAGAATGGGCCAACAAGTCAGTTATAGAGGAAACATACAATAATCTGTCCACTGCAGAGCGTGGCACCTGTGCCATGAATCACAGCTACCACTGAATGTCTGGATGGACATCCTGCTGAAAACATCTGCATTTAGATGTTACATTGTCTCCTTGGATTAATCCATTAGACTTAATAGAAAATATGCCTCCTGTACAAATAGTTTTGAGTGTCATGTAGACTCAGCCTTAAAAAAAATCTATTGTCATTAAAATCCACAAATTGCTTTTCTGCACCAGGAGCAGAAAAGGGAAGTTGGAAAAAAAAATCGGAATGAAAAATTCAACTGACACTTCAAGTTCCAGTTTAAATGCGCACGGCAAACACATCAGGCGTGCACATTTTAAAATAAAACAGATGAGCTATTTTAAATGTTTTATTGAAAAACTTAAAAGAGTGTAGCTATTACTATTTAAAAAAAAATCTTTCGGAAAGCAATTTTTCTATTCTTTGTACCTTTAAGTCCTTGGCTGTGATGTTCTGCTCCTCCGACCTTGATCTAATCGTGAATATCTATGCTACTTAATTATAATAAAAAAAAAGCCTACATTGCACTCTAGATGGTAGATGCACATTTTTTTCTTCTTTGGTCACCTGCCAGTTCTCAAAATTATAGCAGTGGGAAGAAATGCAAATGAAGGCCGTGCTTGACAGCTAAACATAATGGAATGCATGGTCCACATTTGAAAAGTTACCTTAAAATAAAAGGTAGCATATAAAAAATCATTTCTTTAAGGTCACCTATGGCTTTGAATTACAGCTTTGAGGGATTTCCAATTTAGTCATCAGAGAGGAAGGAGCCAAAATAAGGATTATATGCTTTACCAGAGAGAAGGTAGAGTTTTACTTCAGTATAGTTGGGTGATCTTACAACGTAGAAATTGTAAACAAAATTTTTAAAATGAAAGAAAAATAAACTCTGAAGTATTTATTCCCTAGCACCTGTTGTGAATTAACCGCTGGTGAACTTTTCTATGCTAAATGTCCTTGCAGCTAATAAAGTGTTTTCATTCTAGAGTTCTAAGAAAGCTTTCCTCTTCATATGCTAAAATACACAACATGATACATACATATGATTACATAGATCTGTAATATTTTAAGAAAAATTGTATTCCTTTATTCACATGGCTATTTTTTTAATTGGGAATTTACATAGTTAGATAATCTGAATCTAGAAATAGAATGTATTTGTGTGCCTTTGGGTGTATGTATTCGTAAAAAAAACAAAGACATGATTTTATGAATCGGCTCCATCCAATGAACTACAAGCAGGACTTGTACTGCTAACTGTGGTCCTCAGTCAGACCTGAGACCCTAAGTAGAAAAGGGACATAGTGTACCTTCCAAACTTCTTCATAAATATGCTGCATTTTTATTAAGTAACTCTGGTGAATTGAATCATTTTCAAAAATACAACTCTCCCCATTGCTGTTGTTTGTACATAGAAGTGGTACAGACAATGCCAGTAATAAAAGAAAAAATATTTTTAAAATTACAACCAAAGTTAAGCAAATTGTATATCTAGAATCAAAAATGGAATAGAACAGATAGTCCAGAAAAACAAGTGGATGTGCACAATGAATATGGCATCTCAGTCAAGTAGGAGCAGTCAAGACTTTTTTCATAGGTGACATTGAAATAACTTGATAAGAATGTGAGCAAAGAAGCTGCAGTTGAGTTCATTCTGAAAACCTAAAGTAGCTTCCAAATGACTCAGAGATGTAAATACAGAATGAAAAAAAATGGAAGAAAACAAATAGATTACTTTCTGCTCTGGGAGTGACTAAACCTTTTCCACCATTACACAAAATCTAGAAGCACTAGTTGCTACATTTCATTATAAATGTAAACCCCAAACATAGATAAGACAAACAAAAGCAAAAAAAATACTCTGAAAATAATAGAAGTGAATTTAAAAGGTATTTGTAGAGACTAGACTTCACATGATCATGGCAATTATGGTATAGCCCTGAACTTGCCTCTTGGTTAACCCTGACACTCATCTCACGCCTGTGGAATGAGCAGTCATTAAGAAAACTTGTTGGACTGGACCTTGGAATGTCTGTTTTCTAGTGCTTGGAATGCTATTGTTTCTTGAGAATAGTCCAAATTCACTTTGGTTAGCTGTGGACCACTGGCAGTGTAAGATCATGCATTGGTGAGCCTCTCCCTCTCAATTTTTCAATGAGTCTAAATTCTGTCTCTTTAATGTAGGATTTATTATTCTTTATTAGAAAGGCATATCAGATTTTACAGAAAGAGGGAGAGACAGGAAAAAAAAAAAAAGGCTTTCCATCTGCTTGTTCACTCCCCAAGTGGCTGCAATGGCTGGGGCTGAGCTGATCTGAAGCCAGGAGCCAGGAGCTTCTTCTAGGTCTTCTACGTGGGTGCAGGGTCCCAAAGCTTTGGGCCAACCTCGACTGCATTCCCA